GCAATATTTTTTAAATATACTGGCTTTTCCGAAAGTATTAAAAAATAAGTAGAGCATTAACTAGAAGGCCATGCTTTCATATTTGAACATAAAATTTAATTCCAAGCAACTCTTCCCCATTACTTTTTCACATAGCGTTAAGATTTTAGGCACTTTACTCTTTACTGTTTTTACCTTTTCCAAATTGTTGAACACCCTGTACATTAAATAGAACAAATGACTATCTTGCCAAGGGCTTCTGGACAAGCAAAATTTTTTATGAGGAATGATTTTTTTTGATAATTGAAATTTTGTATCCATTTCAGGTAGAAGCAACCCGAACTGGGGACACCCCGTATATCCTTATACAGGGTGGTCCGAATTTTATGCAGGAAACTTCGAGGGCAGATAGATCTCTTTAAAATAATATGTGCTTGCCTTATAAACATTTATCTGGGACAGCCCCGTTTTAGAGATACAGAGATCTATTAATTGATCTCAGTAAAATTTGGTACAGATAATTTATGATAGTACTTAGGCCTTGCATTTCCTAAAATATGAGCTCTGAAGGTCCAGCCAGTGGTGTACAACTGTGCAGGGATCATCTTTTTTATAAAAAAAATCTACTCCACTGCATATTTTACAAGTTACGGATTTATATTCTAATGCACAAAATACGTAAAAAAGGTAACTTGAATTTTTTTCCTAAGATTCGCCGTTTTCAAGTTATTCATACAAATACAATTCACCTCGTGCAGACAGTTCTAACCATAATATTATAAGAATATTTATGTTTATGCTTAAAAGTAAGTGGAATTTGTAAACACATCAACAAAATTATTTATAGTCCTTTCTACACCACCTGTGAGGTAGAGTTCTTGGCTCGTTTTAGTTTCCCTTAGAAACCCAATCCACTATCTTTAGAAATAAGAACAATTTAAATCAAAATAATAATAAATGTACATTTACCAAAGGCGAGGGGTAGTGAATTTTCACAATCTGCATATTTGGTCACAAGAAAATCCTTATGAAATTCGGACATTATCTTTTCAACACGAATTTTCTGTGAACGTGTGGCTCGGAATAATTCGTAATAAAGTTTGTGGACCTTTCTTGCCACCCCGTCTAAATACCCAGTCATTCCTAAACTTTCTAGAAAACCATCTATTTGAATTATTAGAGGATGTTCCATTAAATATACGACAAAATAGCTGGATACAATGGATGGTGCTCCTACGAATTCTGGGAGAATAATATAAGAATAGCTTAATGAAAATTATATGGGGCGATGGATAGGTAGAAGACCAAATGCCAATGTTGACCATAATGGTGCAGAGGGTCCAGTGTCTTGGCCAGCCAGATTGGCATATCTAAACCCCCTGGAATTCTACTCCAACAGATACATGACCACAACTACTGCAACGAACAGAAGACGGGTTTAAAAGAAAACCACCACATGATATTAACTTCAATTCATTCCATTAGTAGAAGATTTTGCATTTTGAACAATTAATTGTTGTAAATACGTAACCTTGACTTTGTTTCTAGTTTAGTTGCTGTTGCTTGGTAAATATATTTTTATTATTATTTTGATTTAAATTTTTCATATTTGTAAAGAGTATTTTTAGGCCTCTAAGAAAAACTAAAACACGCCAGGAACACTACCTCACAGGTAATGCAGAAAGGAATGTAAATAATGTTGTTGATGTGCTTACAAGTTGCACCTAATTTTAAATTAGGTGCAAATTTTAATTATAAACATAAATATTCTTGTAATATTATGGTTAGGAGTGTCTGCCACAGGGGATTGTATTGGTATGAATAACTTGAGAACGGCGAATCTTAGGGAAATATTAAAGTCACCTTTTTTACGTATTTTGTGCATTAGAATATAAATCTGTTACAATATGCAATAGCGTAGTTTTTTTGTAAAAAAAGGGGTGACCTGTGTCCAGTTGTACACCATTGGTTGAACCTTTAAAGCTCATATTTTAGGGAATGTAAGGCCTACTATCATACATTATCTGTACCAAATTTTATTGAGATCGGTTAATAGATTCCGAAGATATAATAAACAAAAAATGATTTTTTTTACAACTTCAACACCCTGTGTCTCGAAAACGGGGCTGTTCCAGACCAATATTTATAAGTAAAACACATTATTTTAAAGAGATCTATCTGCCCTCGAAGTTTCCTGCATAAAATTCGGACCACCCTGTATAACATATTCAGGTACTCCAGTGGCGCAGCCAGAGAAAAAATTTGTTTAACGTCAAAATGTAGGAGATATTAAATGTCTTCCAAAAATTTTCATTTTGAATTGTAGATATAGGTACCTATTTTCACAATATCTCGAAAGCTTCAACATGCCCCCTCGGCTCCACTATGGCTGTGTCACTGTAGCCACCAAACGACTCAGTAGTCTCAGTACCTAACCTACAAAGTTTCATTTTATTGGTAGGTAGGTACTAAACCAGAAAATTTGAGCTACAATCAAAGAATATTAACGTATATTACGAACAAGAAGCGACACTGGGCGAAATTTCCATTGTTTTCTTGATTACAAATTTCGTGACCTCCAAATCAGTTTTCATTACGAGTGCGCATGACTACCAGGGAAAGGCGTAGATGCGGTTAAACGTTAAAATAATCCGAGCCCCTAATTCTGTCAGAGGCGGCGACATATTTGTAAGAATTGAATCTAATATAGTCGATCACTTCACTTTTAAGAGAAATGAAATGAAAATTTGTTGAAAACATACCTGTGGGACTATTTTGAACCATTATGGAACTGTTATGTATTGTATTATTGAATGAAAAAATAAATAAGTTTAAAAATAAGTATCATAAGGGTTTTATAAATAAAACAGGCATTAAATAAGTGAATATAAATTTTATTTATGGACTGAATTTTTATCAAATAAAAGCTACAGTAGCATAATAGTGGGTGCTTAGATAAATAAATGTGCCTAAAACCTATATGACAATCACATTTTTTTTAACAATTCTACTACATTTTCTTTATAAAATTTCTATCTGCACTTCTGATGAAAATTTAGAGCACGTTCTATATTAATATGTCAAAAAAATATTAAAAAATTATGCTTGCACATTATTTAAAATAATTTGTTAAAAAATGTGATTGTGTCATATGGACTTTAAAATAAAGCAAACAAAAAGTCTTGTTTATAAGTCAATTTAATTGTATTGCAGCTATGCTAACAGTGTATTTTTATACTTATACAAATTTTATAAACTTAATATATTGATCAGTTTTCTATTTTTTTTTGGCGTATTTTTTATCTGACTATTGGCATGTTTAAGAGTATGAAATATTTTCATCCTACAAAATAATTTTGAAACATATAGTCTGGGAAAATCTGCACAGGGAGGCTGAAATGAAATTTGATTAAACAACATAAGAAGTTGCTTGCCGATATGGGGCAGAATTGATAGTTTTTCAAAATTTTTTGTAAATATATTGTCCATTTCCCTTACAAAATCTATGAAGCTTTCAACAGGCATTTTTAAATTTCCAAAGGTATCTTTATTTTTTGTTTCATATGCCTTCAAGTGGGAAAAAATATTAGAAGATTTCAATGTATCACATCTAGATGCTATTCTGCACATCTCACAGTCATGAATGTCTAGACATTTTCGGAATAAATACCCACATACATAAGACAAAGCATTTTCTGTCACTAAATCGAGTTCTCGGTAATCAGTAAAGTTAAATTTAAGTGGTTCCTCTTGATTTGGATCTTCGTCTTGGAATGCTTCTGTAACAACCCTTGTATTAATTTTTGTTAAAATTGCATCAAAATCTTCAGCACAGTTAGCACTCTCGCTATGTTCTAAATAAGTTAGCGAAAATAATTTTTTAAATGTATTTATAAAATTTTGTGGAGTTGGGTTGGTGCTGTTACCTCCCTGACTTCTTACTGAACCAAAAAAATTCTCAAGACAGTCCTGATTGAGACGTCTTGTTAGAAGGAAAGAACATCCCTGACTCTTTAGATCCAACCATAAAAATTTGAGAGCATTTATGGACATGCACCATCCATTAAAACATTTAATTTTATTGCCAACATTTCTATTTGAATCATCAAAAATTTTTATTGATTTAATAAAATCTATCATTTCATCCAGAAATTTAATTTGGTAATCAGCACCCATAAATGATAAATTATGTTTCTTTACACCTTTTGTTCGTAGGGAGTTGAACATATCAAATAATTTGTCAAAATATTCCAAGAAATGGGCAGTACCAGCAGCTTCTGGAGACATCGCACCTAAGGACACATAAGTTGATAAACCAACTGCCACAGATTCACTTAAAACCTGCACTGCATATTTCACACGCATTTTTTCAAAACCATTTGGATTTACATGAGCATTCGTCAGTCTAGGTACCAATCGTAGTGTTTTGTTTTTGTCATCTTCATATAACTGTAGGATATCCTTCCAGGATGCTCTTCCATTGTTGAAACAAATTTTATATTTTAGTAAATTATTTCTAACAGATTTTAATAAATGGGGAACGTCAAAAAAGTAGTAAATCTTCTTCTCATTAATAAAAAAATAAGGTTCATCTATAGTTACATTAAGATTTTTTGCAAGTTCAACAAAATTAGCTCCTTGATCTGTTACAATGGCTTTTACTTTAGCACCAGCCTCCATATCCAATTTTAAAATACAATCTTTCACTATCTTTTGTAAAATTTCTCCTTTACACGTTGTATTACTGAAATAAAATCCTAAAGGCTGTTTAAAATTACTATAAATTCCTCTAGCCATAAGAACCATCACTGACTGTGCTGGAAGAAACTTGTTTCCATTGCCCTCATTATGAAATCCAATAATTTCATCTTTCGAAAGATTATAAAATAACGCTGACTTAATCGACATTTCATCGATGCAAAGAGTGCACATTTTTTCTTTGTCGGTCATATTAGACATCTTGAATTTAAGAGCAGCAAATACAAAATCATTTAATCCTACATTAAAGCTAATCGAGTGAGTCATTCTTTGCAAACTCCTAAGACTAGGTAAAATAAAACTTTTTTGTACAAATTTATATGCTTTAGGACTCATAAAATATAATGTTAAAGCAAACTCTTTATATTCTTCTGTATAACGACGACCTTTGGGACGTATATTTTTTAGGTCGACTTGGGCTTTTGCCAAATTGCAGAATTTTTCTGGAAGAAATTTTTCGCACAGACTTTTAAATTGTTGCACTGATATTTCTTCTTGATTAGCAACTTTTTTTAATTTTCTTATTTCTTCCCGTTGACTCCTTATTTTCTGTCGTAGTTTATTCTTGCGAGGTGACCTGTTACTGAAAATCTGGGTAGTTTGTGTTTGCACTGGTGATTTTAGAGGAGACAATTCCACTTCAGAGCTAAAATCAATAAGATAACTTAATTAAAAACACCTTGAAAAACACATTGTAATACTCATTAAAAATTTCCAAAAAAGTTTGTCAGTTTAACTTGTACAATGTACATGCTTACTTGTTCGTATGGTTAATTTTAATTTTTAGTTATAAATAATCGTTTTTGTTAAATGCTATAGGATTTGATTAATACAAATTTTATTAAAGCTATAACTCAGTCAAGACTTGTAAATGTTCACCTACCTATGTGAAATTTCTAAGTGAAGGGGGCCGAGAGGAGGAGTGCATCGAGAAGTGCTACAACTTGCAATAGGTTCAAAAGTACAATATGTATGATCTACATTGAGAACTGTAGATGAACATTGTACTGGTTCCTCGGCAATTTGGGATAAGTTGCATACTTGTTCAGTACTAAAATTAAAAATATATTACTATCACCGAAATGAAATATTTGTTATATAATTATCTCATTCTGATACTTACTCTTCTTGTAAGGAAGACTCTTTTATACTGCAAATGTCTGGCATTATATCTGGTGAAACACTAAAATAAGTAATAGGTCGTTTATAAATAGTTATACTAGTACAGGATATTTACTTACTTAGGAATGAAGTTTGTCGGTTTTGCATTGGGTAGCAGCCTGTTTTTCAAATGGTTTTGAAACATATTATCTTGTAAATGTTTTCCACATACTCGCAATTTATTATATAAATAATTGCAATCCTTATCAATCAAATCCATTCTTCCACATAGCTTCAACCACTCAACACACCTGATATTAGAAAAAAAAATGAACTCAAATAGTAACTTATTATTTGCATTTACCTTCCACGATTTTCCTTGGGAAATCTAAAAAAACTAATTTGTCCATCATATTTTGTTGTACACTTTGACACAGCACAATGCGAAAATAGTTTGACTTTCGGCATCTTAGCCTATTGCAAAATACAAATTAAAAACGAAAAAATATCTAAACACATAAACCAACCACAGTTAATATAAATATAACCTATAAGAGAAATTTCACATTGGCAAATGACTTTTCTGGTAGTCATGCGCAGTCTGGCAAATTTATACTACAGGGCGTGTGTCTCTTCTTGTTCGTAATATACGTTAATATTCTTTGCTACTGTATCAATATAGGAGGTACTGTTAATATTGTTGAGTTAATATTTATGTGCTCCTAACAGCATAGGCAAGAGACTCATATGGTATATTACAAAAACTACGATATGTCTATCTAGATTACTATATCTTTTTGATTTTATCATTAGTTCAAATAATATCTAAAGGTTTAACGTTTCTTGCATGATTGGTTTCCCGGCTGAATTCATAAATTCGTTGGCAGTGCGCCAACATCAATTTTTGCAGGAATGTTAACTGAAGACAAATAAAATCACAATTATTAAATCAGTTCCAAACTCTGGAACCCTCAAATTAATCGAACGAACGACATACGTCACAAAATGTATTAAATATAAACAAAATATAAACAAACATTAAAAATAGAAAATAGAAGCATATTTTACCCAACTTAATATAATTGTTACAATATTTAAGTTTTCGAATACACCTCGAGTTTAATAGGAACCTATTGACAATTTTAAGGTAAGCTGCCATAACAATTTGCTAGATTTTTTAATTTAGTTTATTTTTCCAAATGACTTCTTGCCTGTACGTTTATTACATTTCATTCATTTTCAATTAAATACATTATGTCATTATAGCAATACCGATAAATAATTATTTTAGATTTAGAAAGTTGCACTACCTTAATTTTATTTTATTAATTAATATTTTTTTAAGATGAGTGCTCCACCACCACCCTGCGACTGGCAGACTACAAGAAAGTTAGTTAAGGAAAGAGGTCAATACTTATTAGAAACGGGAATGTGGAGTGATTGCCGGTTTATAGTTGGCACAGAACCGAATCAGCAAGTCTTGGAGGGCCACAAACTTTTTCTTGCTATGTCTAGCCCAGTTTTCGAAGCTATGTTTTTTGGAGGAATGGCAGAGAAAGACCCTATAGCTATTTTGGATGTACAGCCGGACGCTTTTAAAGCTTTATTAGAGTATACTTACGTTTATAAATTAAGATTGGGATTATGTTTTCTATTACTTTAAATTGTAGGTATATTTATACGGATAAAATCAACTTGACGTCATTCGATCAAGCTTGCGAGTTATGTTACGGTGCTAAAAAGTATATGTTGCCACATCTTGTGGAGGAATGTACTAAATACTTGTGGTCGGATTTGTATCCAAAAAATGCTTGCAGAGCCTATGAATTTGCGAAATTGTTTGAAGAACCCATGCTTATGGATAAATGTATTAGGGTAAGTACACAATACACTAGTAACAATTCTGTTCAAGTGTTTGTTTATTATCAAAAAAGGAAAAACCACGAAATAAACATAGTGCATTTTTCTTTTAGATTATTTGCAATCAGACCCAGGAAGTGCTTTCGGAAAGTAGTTTTGATGATGTAGAATTAAGTACGATATTAACGGTGTTTGATCAAGATGAACTGAACATCAATTCCGAACTGGAATTATTTTCAGCAATAACCCGATATGCTGCAAGACACAATCACAGTTCAGGTGCGAAAGTACCTAGACTAGATGGTATAGGTAATTGTGCTTACTTTATTAACTAGTTTTATGATTTGCTTACTGTATTATTTTTTTCTGTCTGCATGAATTTATATCATCATCCCAATGTTTCCAAATATTTTTCTCGACACAAACCAATTTATATGCAGCATACCTACTAGAAATCGTATTGATATGGAACACCTTTAATTAGTAAAAAAGTATTTAAGTAGCTAACTATACTCTCATTAATTTTTACTGATATTTTTATGTATCGATTGCATTGTTTTATAAAAAAATATATTTTGTCACATTCTAAAAAGCAAGTAATGTCTTCATATTGCAATGTTTCAATATTATTCGTTTTCAGTAATTCTTTGACTCTAATTAAAGTAGTAATAGTAGCAAAAGTAAGTATCGAAGAATTTTCAATATTGAAAGGAGCTATTATACTCCAGTACCAAAATAGTAGGTAGTTAGGTCATAATAAATTACAATTTTTACTATTTCTTAACCTGATTTAATAATTTTGTTTATTTTCTGTTCTAAACGCCTCTTTCTATATTTCCTTATCATGTGCAAAGAAAGATGTAACTGAAGCTGCATGGTTTCACATTTTGAAATCTTGCCTTGTCTCAGTTTTCACATGAGGTGTGTCAGTGCATGTCATAACCGTACAAGTATGAAATAAAAAAAGTGTGATAATAAAAAAGATCGAAATTGTAGTATGGCGAAGAGGGATTAAAAAATACTAGTGTCTTACATTGAATATGAAAAATTCATTCTCTTGGTTTGGCAATAATATACAAATAGGATGAGAAATATTTTTAGAATTTCCTATGGGATTAGAGGTAAAAGGTGGCAATTAGTAGTTATACATATTGGAAGTAAATGAGGATATTTGGATAATTGTAGTTTATATGTGTTCGAGTTACAACGAACATCAGATTTCCAACAGGATATCAACAGTGGGGTGTTTGAAAAATTCATTGATTCTGTTTTGCCTCACATCAGTCCAAGTGTAGTGGTTGTCATGGATGATGAGCCTCACCATGGTTAATGAAAAGAAAAATGTGGTATGGTTGAAAACACATTGAATTTAAAGATATGATTTTAAAATACATGAAATATGTAACAGATGAAATGGCTAAAGTTCCCGGTGCTACAATTCTTTGATTGCCACCATACTACTGTCAACTAAACTCCATTGAATTAATGTTATATAAAATATGGTACGAAATAACACAACTTTTAAATTAGACATAAAATAATTCCTGCATGGGGCGATTAATTAATTAATAACAAAAATTTAAAAAAAAACAACAGTAATCAGTGATTTTACTGATACTTATCTCAGTGCTTTTTAGTGTTTTATTGTTGGCACATCTCAGTTTTCCATGATGTTTGTACCTTTAGTGGTTGAACTGATTTTCTGCGGTCTTACAGTTACAAAACTGCATAAGTAGACTTTTCACTAGGGGCAAAAGCACTGACTACATCCTATATATAAAAAAAGAAAATTGCATAGAGGTGGTAGTATATGGCAAGGTGGTTGTAAGTTTCTAAGAATAGTCTGATTTTTACCAAAATTACATTCAATAATTTTTTAAACTCTAAAAAGGTATGCTGATGAATAATGTTGATTAAATGCGCCTACTATTTTGGAAATGGAGTATAGGTATATTTTTTTGCAACACATTTTTGTCACTTTTTAATATACTTAGCAATTTTGATTTAAAACTCTTTTAAATAGATATCAAAACCACTTTATAGAAAATTACATTTTAAAATTTTACATAACTTTATTTTTAATTTGTCATAATATAGTGTGGTCCATTAATAGTTGGGGCATCCTTCTACAATTTTTTTGAGACACAATTTGAATGAATTTTTATTCTAGATGCACTTCATAAAGCAATTACGATCATTTAATTTTTAATCCAATGCTGCAATAATTCCGGAACCAATTTATCAAAATATCACTTAAAAATTTATTAGTGGGCTTAAAATTGTGAAATAATTAAACTATTATTTATATTTCCAGTTATAACTAGAAGTAATTGGCTAATTTTCACCCTTAGGCACTTTCAGTGCCTCCTAGATTTTAAAATTGAAACTGAAACGTGTTAAGATTATATTAATGAAGTTTTATATATCTAAACGGGTTTAATGTGAGCCTTATTGGCCACATAGCCAGATTTTTTAATAACTCAAATGCCGAATTCTAGAATGCCTTCACATATAAAAAGTCAATTCGAATTGCTTGTCCTAAAAACAATTTGGAGGAATGTGCCTTCTCTTAATGGACAATAATGAATTATTTTAAGGTTTTAAATAAGTAACCGGTAAGTGTATAAGATCTTGGCCATTGATTACAATAATATTTGCTAATCATTTTTGGTTTGTGTGACAGTAAATAAATCTCGATAGATTTGAAAAGAAAGGTTTTTTAACTAAAATTAATTATTTACTTTGGAAATAAACATACATATAGGTATTTCTAGTTTTTTGAAAAAAAATTGTTTGAGTTGACATTCACAAATTTAGTTCGAAAGCCTTGTACAGTTCTCATCCATATATTTATTAATAATCACTATACAAGAAATATTTCCGTATTCACGTCACCTCATATTTAACTAATAATTGAATTTTCTTTTTGTTATAAATCCACCCGATTTAACATTAAGCGATGCTTATTTAATGTTTTTTTTTATTGTGTAATGAATTCCAAATAATTTAGGACATTTAATAACACCTGCGTTATCTCTTTACGTTTTAAAATATAGGGAATGCAACCAGTGAAGCTAACAGCAACCACCCAACAATAAGAGACGCAATAATGAAAATCCGTTTCCTCACTTTGACACCCCAACAGTTTGCTGAGGGACCCGGAAAGTCTAGTTTGCTTTCCGAGTCTGAGAAGTTTGCCATTCTAATGAATATCTGCAGCCCAAGTGCTGCTGTATCTATGCCCGAAGGGTTTTCATCTTCCGCCACACCTAGAAGGAAAAAACATCCGTCTGAACCATTCTGTGTTGTGAGTATGATGATATTAAAGAGAAACCATCTGTCTTATTTTATTGTATTTATAATTACAGCCTTTGGGTGGTTTTCTGTTGGTAAGTAGTTGTTCTCCTTTTTTTGGGCTTAAAAAAGCCATGCTTCATATTCAATTTTATATACTGGGTGTAACTTTCAGTGGGGATCAGTTTTTTTATGGGTAATAGTATGTGTTCCCCTGAATACGAATCTAAAATTCTTTTTTTTTTTTAATCAAATGAATAGTTCAGTTATAATTAGTTTTTTAAATTCCACTTTAACATATGCTGTCACTAATAATTACTTACTGTTTGAGTTTTCTGCATGCCATCGTTTGAAGTATCACTAGCTTATCCACTAAAAAAAAAGATTAAAGAAAAAAGTTTTCACTGTGGAATTTGAAGAAAATAAACTATTGATACATATTTCTAAAAGTCAAATGTAGCCTTCCTATAAATATACCTTCATTCAAACTTACACCCTGTATATTTTACTTTACCAACACATTTCCTGTATTTATGCATAAATAATAAATTGCATTTTTTGCAGTACTAATTTTACACAATTTCCGAAATGAACTTTTCTTTCCTCCAAACAAAATTTACTGCCATAATTTTTTTCAATAATTTTTTTTTCTATTCATAATATGAAATAATCTAGCAGACATTGTAAATTTAAATGTACCGCCACGTCAAAAGACGTCATCAAACTCAAACTCAAGAATTTCCCTATGTTCTTCAGTTCTATTGATCATTTCTAGACTACAGACAAATTTTCATGTGATCTATTTGTAGAGCCAGTCAGAGCTTAGAAATTTTTAAATAAACCTATGCTTCAACCTTATATTCAATAAATTGGAGTGGTGTAGTGTAGTGTTCTGTTTTAAAGGTTATGTTTGAAAACATGAAAAGAAATTAAAAAAATAAATAAATTCCGTAGTTAATGCGTTGAGTTAAGACTAAAACCATGTTCACTAAACCTGGAGTGCAAAATTATGTAAACATAGTGCGGGATCTCCGACATGACCTATTGTTAAACTTTAGTGAAGACTACTTGTTTGAAGGATCAGAAGGAACATATAACGAAGTACATGTTGAGCTTCCATATCCAATTCACAAACCTTTCAAAGTTACTGAAACGGATCCAGTAAAACAGCTATTGCAAGAAAAACAAGAATATTTAAAGTTGCTGGAAGTGAAACAACGAAGATATAAGTATGATAAGAAAAACATTAAGAAGCGTACTATATCCGGTAGTGAGTACTTGTATCTACCAACGCATCTTTTAGAATTTTATAGAACTAAGGATCCAGATAAGTATTTTGATTGTGACTATAATTTCTACTATACTGGTGGATTTTTGGAGCATGTAAGGATAAATAATGAAGATTATCTTATTCGACCTAATGGAGAAAATCAGTTATGTCTCAGCAATTTACAAATATCACAGAATTCTGTGATTTTAAATTATGATATACCAACAAAAATTTTCAACATAAGAGCTATCGAAAGTAGCAATAATAGTATATTGGTGTTTAGAGGAAAATATGATCTTAAAATAGCGACACTTTCAAACGCACAAGAATTGAATGAGATTTGGACATACAAACATGTTTCACCACTGTTAGATGCTAAGTTAAATCATGAGCAGCTTAATAATGTGGGAATTGTGGACATGAATCTTAAATTGAGTATTAGTAATATTGAAACGGGCCAGATATTAGTTAGTTACAATAATAACAGTAACGATTTAGACAAAAATAATTATCAACAATTTCAGTTCTTAAATCATAACATTGTTGCATTAAGTGATCAATTTAAAGTTAAATTTATTGACTGCCGTACCAAAGCAATTGAAAAAGAATTTAATCCGGAACTACTAGAATGCAATTCTTTATGTAATTTCGAAATTAGGGAGAATGATTTCTTTTTAGCTTCTCGGCACTACTTGATAAAATCGGATTTACGGAAATTAGAAAAAGTATCGCATTTTTCTCATACCCTTAATAATCCACCTTGCTACATGAGTATTGGAACTAAAGACAATGATAAATTCTTATGTTTATCTGGACAAACTCAGAGTTATAAGGTACTATTTGATGGAAAATCGATATTCAGTTTACCTCACAAAGTTCCAGACCTACAAAGCACACTTAAGCAGTGTCTTTTAAATAATCCCAGCTTGGTTCTACGTAATAGTGAATTACAAAACAGGCTGGACTTTTCTGTGGCTGGCTTAAAAGTAATAAATTTGAATAACAAAGTATGCATTTTCTGGGCAAATTCATTGGGAGAAATATTTAAACAAAATATATCCCCTCATGAACCTGATTCAAAGAAGCCAGTGGAAGCTTTAACAGACTGGGTGAACAACTTAGAAAAAATAAAACCTATATTGCATCTCACTTGTGTACAAGAAATGAGTCACGCAAGATTTTCTTTAAACACGAATCCAGTGGATACCAGTTTGTTGAAGTATAAGAAGAATGATACCACTCAAAGATTCTTGGACAAGTTCACACCTGTATATTCAAAAAAGAATGTTATGAGCAAGTTAGCTCAGGATTTTTTGGCAGTATGGGATGACGAAGACGATGACGACAATGATGAAGAGGAAGGCGATGAATTACCTGAAGTACCTGTACACGATAAAGTTAATAGTTGGATACAAACACATGATTTTTCTGAAGACGAAAATAGTATGAGCCGGAGCTTTTCAAATACTTCCAAAAGATAGTGATATAGCTGATAACCTGTTCATATTAAAAATACACAGAATCTGTACCAAGTCTTTCAAGTTGACCAGTCTTTATTGATTTTTATGTCAGAGATGCTATAGAAAATACAGTCTCTGTAAATAAAAAGTTATGGTAGTAAATAACTGGAGTTAAAGACTTTTTTCCTTTGTATTTGAGATATCGTCAAAGAATTGTTTTTGCTTTATTTTTCTGGATAATAAAATAATTCACTTTATTGCTTGACTAATTATTTTATAATTCAATGTGATTGAACGGAATCAAGAAGACGGTTTTCTAGGCTGGTGCATCTGCTATGGACACATCCCGCACCTCAATGATAAAATTCAGTGCTTCAGTCTCGGAAGGTGGCAACGATCATTCTAAAAAGTTGTACTGTAGCCGGCAGCTCCTTAGAATCACAGAATGCATGAATACCAGTGTCCTCGATTGTGCTGTTACATTCACGTGTGACAAAAACGTCTGCGTTTATGGAATTCAGGTAAAGCGTTTTAAAGTCGTTTAGTTGTATTATACGGGCTAAGCAAAACTGGACGGAGAAAATAGATTAAAGTAGTGCAGAAACTTCTTATGTAATTTGCACAAGAGCCATAGTTTCTTTTTTTAATTAGTTGTTTTCAAAAAAATAACTTCACAATTTTTTCTCGGGCATTTCATGAAAGAATAAGAAAATACTTTCGCTTAACCTCACCATAAAATCCAATTTTATGTCATTATTTTACATATGCAAATACTTAAAGAACTCAATTCTCTATAATTGACCAGAACAAATAAGGAACAGTGAAGTAAAAGTGGACGTGAAGTAATTGCATCTGTGAAGTATTTGTAGAGGTGAAACAGTACATCTGAAAAGTGACACTAAACCGAAGATGTTGATTAACAAAGCGATGTCAAATTATTGAAGTAAACTAACAAATTTAATGTGCACTTCGCTCAAAACCTGTATTTTTTGGGCCTTTTCATCATGCCCATAAAATGTAACTTTTTGGCCTCGATATGTAAATGACTAAGTATTTGTAATATCAAATTTCCTATAGTCGGTACGATATCAGTTGGAACCGCATAAAAACATTTAACTCATAAACTCTACGGAATCCATAGACGTCCAGAAAAATGTTGCCCTCTCTCGTCTAGATATTCTATATTCCGAGCTATATTCCTATTTAATTGACGATATTCTCTAATTTTTTGTAAATAATCTTCCCGAAGTGCAACTATATATCGTGATTCCGTAATTACCAGACGATTGCCAAGTTTTTTATGTTTAAAACCGCATTGTAATAAAATAATACATGTCGTAAAGTGTCTAAAGATTTATAATTATAATCAGGATAATCGTTTAATTTATCTCGAATCATGTTTAAAGTAGGAACTTTATTTTCTTTAGGTATACATATTATAAATTGTGCGCCATATTACATCTCTGGTAAAATCGTCAATATTCTTTAATTTTGTATTTTTCTGTTTCCTCTTTGTACCATGATTAATAACGTCTCCTTCTTTAATTATGCGATAAATTGACGTTTTTGATATCTTAGTTAATTCGCTAATCCCTTTCCTAATTTCATTATCACATTTTTCACTATTTTATCTCTTCAAACATTCATATAATATATTTAAACTAATACGTTGACTTTGTATGTGTAAATCTTTGTTTTTAAACTTCGAGTTTGTTTCGAAGATTTCGACAAAAACCGGCTCGACTATTTGGGGATTTTCCCGGGTTATTTCGTTATCTTCCGTTTCAAAGGGTCTCCAGAAATTACTAGATAATTACATATATATTATTTATTTTAATAACTACTACCCTTTACTGATTACGATATGAACAAATAATAATTAACTAATAATTAATAGTACGTATTATACCAACAAACAACAACACCAAGCACTGATCTCCACTGCACTGGCAAAACCAGTGAACAGCGTTCGACACCAAACTAATTATAGAATACCATGCAAAAAATTATTTACGACCTAGTGGACCAATACAGGTTTGCTTTGAAGACCAGCGTGCCGCCGTCGATTCTACGTCAGGCAGACTGGTCTACCAATACCGGACTCGCCCAATGGCTATTCAAGTATAAATTACGACACAGGTAATGGCTAAAGCACAGGAAGAAAGTTCAAGAGAAGTGCAGACGGTCCTGTGCTTTAAAATTCACATGTTCCAATTGATATTGTGACAACTATACTATTGAAACTTAAAATATGGCATATGATAATAATATTCCCTAATACAAAGTCAATTTATAGGAAATGTGGCATACAACCCATCAAATTAATTAGAAAATTGTGGTGAATTGAATTTGGAAAAATGAAATATAATGTCTATAAAAAAGTAATGCTCCTGTTACTTTTTTGAAAATTATCCACTAAAAATAATTTACGTACAGTACAGGGAAGCATTATTTCACTGACTCCAAATAGCAAAGTTTTAGTTCACTGTTTTTCGAGCTTAAATAATATTGTCAGCGTTAAAACTCTGCACTACTTCAGCCATTTAAGCTTTTTTTCATCTCTAACAGTTTCGTAATCCCTGTCGTGATAAAAAAAATTGATACTTAATACATTTATTTTACTTTTAATTTAAGAGATTGTCATTTTAGGTTCCGGCCCAGATCCCAATGGAAGACGACCGCCAGCCTCAATTCGTTTATCCGGAACTGCTCTACGCCCACTTGTTAGACGGGGATGGTAGTCGGTTGACTTACACCCACTTTACAAGCAGGGTCAACTATCGATCGTTGATTGAAATATCATTTAACCGGCCGATTTACATACAACGCAATAAGGTAACAACCTTGTTTTTGATTAATGATTTAAGTAATTAAACACATACAGGGTGTCCATTTAGTGACCCCGTCTCTTGTAGCATGACCTTTGGTCAAAGAAATAATAAAATAATTCTAAAAATGATAAAAGATTATGGTCCTGACATCAACATGAAACTTTGATAAAATTTTGGAATCTAAGTTAAAGGAATATATCAAATAATTAATTAAACAATATTTTTCCAAAATATTTCTAATTAGGGAATTTTTCCAAGTGAGAAACGAAGTTTGAAAACAAATATCAACAGTAATGTTGTTTGTTTAGGATATTAGAAAATAACAAAAAATCCATATTGCGCCCATAACAAAAACAAAAGTTAACTACCATTCAGCTCTTATTTTTAGAGATAACTTAATACTGACGGCAAAAAATCGATTCCTACATCATTTTATATCAGACTACACATTTTTCGTACTAAAATTTTGAAAAACAAGTGAAACTAGACTAAAAGAAGTAGCATAAAATCGGTTTCTTTCAAATGTCTTCGGAGCTATTCGGAATTTTCTAAAATGGCGGCTCGTTAGAGTAGGCTGGGGAGGCTAAGCCTCCTCTGCAGTTTTTGATAGTATTGCAAAAGTTTTCTTTTAGTTTTTTTATTTTACATCATATAATTAATATTATTTAAGAAATTTTCATACAAAACTATTTTCATATGCGACTAATTAGGTACCTACTAAGGGAGAGAGACTTCGAGTACGTAAATATACGATTTTTAAATGTTCACTATTTTTCGCGCCCTCTGAATTCGCATTATAGTCGCTGGCAGCTAACTTTCTCAAGCCTCCAGCCTTTATCAGTATTCTATATGCTGCGAGACCTTGAAATGATGCCACGATGTCTTCATTCGAGCTTAAGAAGTCGAGCATGGAGGCTTGTTGCCACCTTCCATCTCTTTTTAACAAACGAATCTTTCAACTTAGCCCTTCTTCTCTACCACCTCAGCGGTTGCAGTTGTATGTTGCAATGTTGCATTTCATAGTACCTAAAAACATTGGTTGTCTGTGAGTACGGAGTTTTTGTTTTTAACTGGTGTTTATGTGAAGTATTTCTTAAGAATTTTTGGTGAGACGATCATAATTAATTAGTAAAATAATTATTTACATTTTACTCTGGTATGTACTTAACTTTATTAAAATAAAATGAGTTGGACAAAAATTTCATTTTTTTCTTGAAAACCTTTACAATGATTTTTGAACAAACCGATGTGTATTCCAAATTTTGCAGAATAAATTAACCGACGTAACATTTTCTAAAAAGAGAATTAATTCACTTTTATCAAAATTAAAAGAATTCCATAATAAATGAAATACATTTCAACACGTATGCAATTTTCTTATAATTAGAAGACATTACGAAACCTTTAATGATGACCCGCCCTCAAAGAAAAGAAGACAAGTTTAAAGTTTTTTATTTCAAGCCTCCTCTGCCAAATATACCACAAGCCACCACTGCTGTATCTCTTAAAATAAGAAAGATACCTGTATTGGACAATTAAAATGTAACCCCGTATAAAATTATTTGAAGTTGCATTTTTCAATGTAACTAATTGTAATAGCTGCCGAAACTATTACTCTAACAGCAACATAAAATTAATTTTTCTGTACATGCTTCTGAAAATAAATGTCTTGAGAACCAAAAATAGTTTACAAAATGTCATACAGGAATTTTGGAATTTTTCAAAAAAAAAACGAAAAAGTTGAAATAAAAAAAACCCATGGATCCAAGAGTGAGTTATTGGGACTGAAGTGATTGCGAATCACCCCTCCTTTCGGTCAATTCAATTAATCAAACGATGCACCGAACATCCTGTATATCGAATACATTCAAAGCAATCATGAAAACATTTCATTGTTTATGATATTTATTCACGTGGAGCAAATCCCACTGACAAATTTATTAAAGAGAATGAATTTTATTTGTCACCTAATAATTTACGTTTTAGCGATTTGTGGCCTTACTTAAAAATTTTTTATGTAACACATGCGAAGTGCTCTGATGAACTAGCCTGGATATTCCATAAACATCCATATTCATCCATCAAAGAATTATTTTGCATACTTTTTACATAAAGAGCCATATTGTCTTGATATTACAGGTTTACAAAGTCGGCGTCGTCTTGAACAAGATAGGTTGTTACCCGATAGGCACATATCCCAACCAGTCCACATGCAATGGAGTGGTCTTCACCTTCTCCCAAGGCCAATGTGGAGATTCGGTCAGGGACGGCTTGATTCGTTCCATAATATTCTCCATACCTTCATCCAACAACAACAGCAGCAATCCGGGAGTTCCGGGAGATCACAAGATGCCCAATATTATTTGAATATTAATCGATGCATCGTCTTTTTGGAGTTATATTTATTTTCTAGATTCTATTTAACAGATTTATTCATATATCGCATCACATTATAATTCGTACTAATAGTGTAAATAAAATTACATTAATATAGTTTTATTTCTTCTCATAAGAATAGATCTGAAAAATTTTATATGGACATTGTCAAGGTAATAGGTTATGGTTTTTCAAAATTGTATGAATTTTTTATTCTAATTTGCTTTTTGTATACCTAAACAGAAGAGGAACTGCTAAAGTAAACTTAAAACACGTATATAACAAAAAGCATAGGTTATAAAAAAAAAATTTATAGGTTATGTTCAAGTCGTCTTAATGAACACAGATAAATTACTCCAAGATGTGATTGCTCTACTTTAGCCCTGTTCGTTATATGTTGGATGCTACTTATGGCTCCAAGAGATCTTGGATCATGAAGAGGCGGAGCAGTGACATCACCAGATTTTTTTAGATCACAAAGTTGAGCAGTCGATCTTGGAGTAATTTGCTTGTGTTCATTAAGGCGACTTGAACATTTTATACAAAAATTTTGTATGATAACATATGCTTTAATTTGATGTATACGTGCGTGTTTTAAGTTTACTTTATCTAGGGTATTTTAGCAGTTTTTCTTCTGTTTAGGTATACAAAAAGCAACTTTGTTATCCAACATGAATAAGGAAAACTTATTAGGTTTATTGGCGTAACTACTAGTGAAAAAAGTAGAAAATGGATTGGAAAATGTATCAACATGGTTTAGACGAAGATTGTGAATATGTCATAAATAATTTGTCATGTGGAAAATCAGCTGATTGCTCTAGTTGTTTTACTCCCTTTGCTCCAGCATAAATGACAGAGTAACCAGATCAATGATATTGATCAAAGTGAAATACTCCTGCATAACAAACAACTCTGTGCAAACAACATAGATTTTGTGCTCGGCTTCAACGAATGCTGATAAATTACTCCGATTGAGTTGGAGTACGTCAAGCAGACACAACGAAACAGGACTGGATCTGGTGACGTCACTGCTCTTTACTCTTCACGATGCAAGATCTCTTGGAGCTACTAGGAGTAGCATATAACGAACAGGACTATAATATTCCACGATTTAATTATCAGTAGTCATTTCGTGCCATCTAAGAGCTACTCCCAGAAACTAATGGCTCCTTATTGCAGATTTCGTTTTTTGTAGTTGAAAAATATAAAAATAATGTAGATATACATTAAATAATTTCACCATGATAATGTATAACAAATTCATAAAAAGTAGATAACTCTAAAGAAATATAGAGAAAAATTAAATTGAACACGTGGACCTCTCAGAAACGAATAACCAATGAGAGTTCAGGAAAATCAGCTACATCGAAAAACATTAATGGCGGCTTTGTGTTATTGTAATTAACAATATTTGTTTTTATTTACTGTGTAACGGGATTAGTAAGTGAAATCTGTATACAATGCCCCCAAAACGCATTTCAAAGCCTTCTGTTTCTGGAAAGAAACTTCAGAAACAGTCCAAAACTACCAAAAATGCAACCGGTGAGTGTTTATAAGTTTAGGTCTTATTAATTGCTCTGTTCAGCTTATTTTTTCTGACCTTGTAATTTATCTAGACCCAATTGTACAAAGAATGCCTCTTTTTTAAAAGTACAAAATAGAAGAAGCGTACTTGAGTTAATTTGTAATTTCGTTGTCTCCTGCCTTAATAAGCTTAAATTATCTACTGGATCTTTAACAACTTAAAGAAATGGATATGTTGAATATTAGAATATCAAGTTTGTATTCATGTATTTTGTAACAGATAATTATCTGATAATCTTGTTATCAGAATCGCTTTCGTATTACATTAACCATTTTTAAATAAATGAAATTATTTGTGAGGTTATGTTGCAATAGGGAGACAGGGCTGTACTTACATTTTTTCTTACCTCACCTATTCCCTATTTTGATTGTTACATTACTTGAGTGCACTTTGATTTTGAAGGATAATTGAATAATACCAAATATATCTTTAGACATTTACAATTTAAAATTATCGTGTATTAGAATATTTAAGTTTTTTTAATTTGTTCATTGTACTAATTTAGTGTTGTTTGAATGGTTACGTGTTACCCCTGGAAATAAATAATATTTTTGGATAGATCTCAATAATATACAATAACAGTTTATTACACAAATTTAGAAGTAAGTAAACCTACCCATATTATAATAATAATTTTTTAAATGAGTTTTAATTCTCGAGAACTACACCAAAAAGTTTACATACATGTCTAGAAGAAAAAACTCTTATAATGTTCAGTGAGCGTTTAAACTGTGCATATTTCATGAATATTTTAAATTAATATTGTTTGGATCCACATAAACAACTGTGGCATTCAAATGCTAATGAAAAATATTATTTCTTTGCGTTGTGAGGATATTTGCGGAATAGCTATATTTATTCATCAAACAGGTTTGTTTATCTACTTCGACATATCCTTTGATTCACCCAATCGAAGGTAAGAATTTGCGTCAAACGGAAAATATTGGGAATTTAGTGTTAAAAAAATTTTATTTGTAGATAAGCAAAAACTCTTTTGAACACTAAACTCATAGGTAATTATTAAGTTTTTCCAGGGTTTTGTCACAACGAACTACCGAAAATGGCAAAGGTTTCTTTATTTCATGAAATTTTTAGAAAAATTGTAAACCATTTACTGAAAGCGCATCTTTATATTTCTAGTTAAGTCAACATGATACATACATCTTTCGGTTGTTACCTTTTGGTTAATATTATAGTTTTGGTTACCTATTGCTTTTGCAGAGATTTTGATCTTTAAATTATCTAAAATATCTACAGTGGGTTTTTACACGAAACAAACAAATTACCATGTGCGTTTTTTAAACATGTTGGCCTTGATTTCTAGCCTGTTTGTTATTAAAAAAAATTAATATTTGTTCCTGAAACGCAGTTAAGACTGTTTAAAATACTATTTACAATTCGGTAAATAAATTAATTGATGCATGTTGCGCATTAGTAAGCATAAAACCTTTCGAATTTCTGGTAGAATTGCGCGTAGACACAATAGATAATATGTTTGGTTAACAATTTTTGTTAAATGAACTTCCATACTTTACAAACTTTTATATTGAAAAGCAGTACATGGATATACCTACAGGGTGTAACTACGTGTCTAAAAATTAACACTGGAAATTATACTTAAGTTATCGTAACCATAATTAAAAAAACATTAATAGATAATGGGTAACATAATACACAATAAAATAAAAGTACTCCAAAAATACATAATTTAAAAAAAAATCATGATTAGTACCTTGTATATGGCTAATAAATAAATATTTTGATACAACATGCAAATCTTTTAGTGTAACTTTCATGAAATTATATACAGGGTGATTCAGAAGTTATTCAAAAAATAATTTTAAATGTTCAGTTCAGTTGTAAAAAAATAGAAAAGGGCAGTTGAATTATCTTTTCCATAATACAGTGACAAAAAATGCATTTAAATTATTTGCATGTAAAGTTTACTGTTGAAATTGTTTTGTGTTTTTGAAAATAAATATAAACATTAATCAACTATTAGATATTGAATGCAATTTATTTGCGGCGTAAATCTATTCATCCAAAGGTGTTTTTGGTGTAACTAGTTAGAGACTGACTTGTTCCAGAGGGCTTGAAAAATATCTTGTTTCAATATTGCCGGAAAACAGTCTTATATTCACGTTCTATGCTCGATTTTTCATTTTTGGCCACCCCGTATATGCTTTCTGAAAGGTGAAAAATTTAATACCATTTTTTCAAAAAGCAGAACTTTTTATAAATAATATATTTTTTTCGTCAAATTGATAAAAAAGTTACCTGTTATGGAGAACATAAATGGACAAAAAATAGGACCTTACGAATCTAAACTTAGACTTAATTTTTAATTCTAAGTAATATTTTCCCCATTACATTTTTCTCTAAAATAAAAATTAATTGTACTTCTTCCTTGTCAAATTCCATTTTCCAATTCCAATTCAATTTTCTGCCACCCTGTATATGCTAATTCAAGTTTGAAAAGTTTAGTACCATTTTTTCAAAAAGCAGATCTTATAAAGGATACGGTTTTTTCGTAAAATTGATAATAAAAAAGTTACCCATTTGTAGAGAACTTAAAGGGACACACTGTATATAAAAAAAATTTGAACGTTTTGAAATACGTTTCTTTATTTTTGCCAAGTTGTACTCTGCATAATGACAAAAACATGTATTTGATATTTTCGATAAATCAGTTACATTTACGATAACAACACCAGTTGCTGTTTTTTGTAATTGAATTAACTCGAGTAGATTTTTGTTGTGATAGTACTTTTTATAAATGTTATCTACTCTTTTATCAATTGGTACTTGACTTAAAAATATATACTTACAATTAGACTTATATCTAGCATGTCGGGTAGGTATATTGCTTATAATAATTTTAAAATACTACGAAGAAAATCATCTGAGGAGTGTTTTTAATCAGTTTAAACCATATTGCCCATATTTCGTCAACTCTGCTTTTGAAATCTATATTCAAGGAATTTATTTGCAAAGAAAACAGATATTTTCCCAGATCATAATTTGTATGTAAGGCAGATTTTACGTTGTTATTTGTTAAATCTAGAGGCTATTTAAAACATTGTTAAATTTTTAGCTCAATTATTGATCAGGAGATTTGTCGATAAGTTGTAACGAAATATAACTTATTTTTTCTTTGTTTATTTGGGTATTTTGCAAAAATATTTTAATAATATCAATATTTGGCTGATTTATTTTACCAGCAGGGGTTTATTTAATTTTTAAATTTTCTTCAAAATAAATAAAATGACTTAAAACAGTGTCATGCACAAATAAATAAATTCGGAGAAAATCCGCGATTACCTATGTTTTTAATGCCTTTTTATGTTATGTTCAATGATTAGATAACGGATCTTGAGACATTGTGAAATACAGCTGAAGTCGATCCCACTTGACAAATGTTGCAAGTCACTGTCAAAATTAATTGGCGTCAACTTTTGGACAATTTCTCATCACACGTATAACTTATTGCACTTAACCAAAAATATGAAATAGGTTTGTTAGTTTTGAGGTTATCTTGAACATCTATTGAGGTTAGTTATTTCGTCTAACTTAAATTTCATCGGCCACTTAATTTAACCATTAATGACGCCAAGAATCGAATAAATAATACGCGAGAATTTGTTTGTTTGCTGCTGGTTCGGTAAACAAGTTTATTTTTATAGTACATTGATTTGCCCAGCCGAATTCAAAGGTAAAAATTTACGTCAATAAACTGAAAAAATGATATTGATAAGTCGGTTGACCCGTTCCGTTGAATAAATTATAATATGGCTACGTCCGGATATAACCGGTCTGCGACAAAAATAAATATTTTTACGCCGTTTACAGGTAGGTACGACTGGAGCTTGGAACGCGTAGATGTAAATAAATTATTTCAAGGATTCTCCACAGGAAGGTAACTATGTAATGTGGGAAATGTATTTACTGTGACTCCTCCTTGACCTGTTATGCGACTTATTTTGACCAAATTCAGGGTATACATTTATTCTTACATTATTTTTATATACAGGTCCCCGAACATATATCTAAAACTGAACATCAGAGATTCATGGATTCAAAATAGTCTAATCCGCCTACATCCGAAATTGCTTCGTTTGGACGTTAGATTCAAAGTTCTTAAAAATTTGTTGAATTTTTAAATATGCATGAATTTTAAAAATGCATGAATATATTAGGGAACAATTGTTAGATTCCATAAATAGTTAAGTTAGTTGTTATGTAACATGTGTTTAAGTAGAAACAAGAGTAGAAATTATATATTCATTAATGTCTGTTTTTAGAAATGGTTCTTTCTCTGAAATTCTTTTGCTTTTGATGTTTAAACTGAATATGATCAAAAGTGTTCATATTTTGGTAGATAGACAATAAAAGTGTTCATATTTTATTAGATAGACAATAAATAGTTTGACTAATGTATACCTAAAACAGATAAAAAATGGGAGGGATTGAAAATTGTTTAGGCTTTATTTACTGAAATTTGTTAAAGTTTAGGCAGCAATTAATTGAAGACCTTTGTGCAAAAAGAGAATAACAATAAGTAAATTGTGTTTTTGTTGTCATATCATTTGGCTGCATAAATATACATTTGCGTCAGTGTTAAAGTATTCCTATAATGATGATATGCCCAAATATTATTTATGATGCAAATATTTTATGTGTTTTATTTGCACCAGTTGGAAGAGGCGAATAAGTTTAGTAACATTCAAAACATTGTCTGCAATTGGTATAGCTGTACAGAGTATCCCATTTAAAACAAATATTGGGTCTAAATCGTACTTTTTTCATATTATTTGATGTTCTTTGTTTTATGACATTTACAGCATCTTCGCAAATTTCACTACTAGTTTGAACATGAAAAGCCTGTGCATTACTTCAATACCTTTCAAATAGAAATATAGTAATTATGGAAGTTAGACGTCGCAAGCTTGGGATAATA